CCATACTTTTCTAGAACAGATTCAAGGTATTGATATCCATGTCGCATTGGTATCAAAAGTAACTAGATTCCTCATAAAAACATGCAGTTCAGGGAGTAACCTAGGTCATCTCTGATGAATCCACATTTTACTAAATTTTTATACATCATTTATTACTTTTTATAGAAAAGAATAGACTTAGTTTAAATAAGATGAATATTCCAATTAGGCTAAATAGTATAGGTTTTTAGTTTTTAGTTAATTTACACTGATTTAGATAGTTTATTTTACATATTTTGATCATTTGAATAATGTGGCAGGAATCCCCAAGCTTATTTTGAAGAATTGTTGGATTTTGAGGAATTTGAGGTGAAAGTAACTACTTTTAAGATTGATAGTGACAACTACAGCAAGCCACATCCAGCAAAGGGACCAAAGTGATCACTTTCAAAGCTTAAAGTGACAATTATAGCAGCCCAGAATCCACTAAACCTGCGCGTGGTTACTATGAACTTTCATAGTAATCATTCCAGAGCATGCAAAATTGAAGGTGTTGCGTGTAGTTACTATCAAAGTTCATAGTGACAACTTCAGAGAGTCCAAAATGTCCCAGTGCTGCGTGTGGTTATTATGAATCTTTCATAGTAATTACTCCAGAGAGGAAAAACCCAACTGATGCTGCACGTGTTTATTATGAAAGAATGAAAGTAATTACTTTGGAGGGCGCCAACTTTAGTATAAATAGATTTTTACCAAATTAAGGTAGGGAGTTCTTACACTTTTTGAACCTTTTCTCTTCTTTACTAAATTTAGGACATTTTTCAGAGCTTAGGGCAACCTTGGGTGACAGCCAAGGGTCCAACCTAGGGTTTGGCTTCTCATTTCTCTTGCTTTTACATTAATGTTAATGAGTTTTCTGTATTTCTCAACTGCGTTTTTGACCCCCATTGTAACATCCCCAATTTTGATTTGTGTACTTAGGGTTGTCCGAGTTTAGTTAACCTTCAATAGTAGTACTGTTATTATATTGATTGAATTTCGTACATTTCTTTTTGATAATTTTGTGGATCAGTTGATTTTATGAATGTTCTCTTTTAATGATGATTATTTGAATTGCTAGGGTCTCTGCTGCACAATAGAGCCTGTTATATTTTTTTTAGTAATGTTTAATGTAAATTTTTATGTGCATGTGTTATATGATCATGTGGTATGACTGCCTTAAATAACCCTAGGTTAGTGAGTCAACCCATGGGGCGAAAATGTCTTCTGGTCAAATACGTGGACCCATTTTATTTCATGATCATATTATTCTTCTGATTCATTATAATTAGTTGTAATATTCCCTTAAACCCAAGAGAGTTACACGTGGGGCTGCCTACCTCCCTAACCATTAAGTAACATTCCTTACCATTAAATGTCTATTTGACCTTAGTTGATGAGTACACCTGAACCTTTTCATTTTCCATAACACCCTACACACTAAGCCAGTCAATTAATGAGAACCACCACTTTTGCCCTAGATTTCCATGTGCAAAACAAGGAACCGAAGAGACACCTTGTAAACCTTCATTCTTTTTAGTTGATGGCCAAATTTCATTTAATGCAAAAGAGAGAGAGAAAGAATTGATTTTGATAGCCCAGATTCTAACCCCAAATTAACTACACTTAATGTAAAATTTCATTATTCCAAATTACTCTAATTAAATGCAGCCGCCACCACTTGAACCGTTACACTTTGATTGACCATCATTTGAAAAATTTCCATTTATGGTGCAACCGAAAAATAGGACTTCAATTCTTTCCTCGAGTATAGACTTTCCATATTCCTGTACATTTAATTTGGATTTTATCCAATATACCTCTCTTAATTAGAGCAGTCAATTTTCATTTAATGCCTGAGATAGGAAAGAGAAAGACACCAGCCATAATGACCTAGATTCTGAGCCTAAATAATTGTACTTAATACAATTATCAATTCCCTAGTTACTCTAATTAGGTGTAGTCGTTTGTCTCTTCCTAGACCGTTACATGTTAGATTGCAATCAATTGAAAATCCCTCATTTATGGTGTAGCCGAGGATGGAGTTTTATTCCTTTCCTTAATTATGAACCTTTCAGGTTCTCATGCACATTTAATTAAGGTAGGTCATTAATCATAAATTAGAAAGAATCTTATAGTCAATTATGGAGGATACCCTTGCCTTTCCATTTACTCGAAGAAACCCTTTATTTCCTCATTTAACCGCCACTAAATTCACTTAATTACCCACCTACATTAAATACCATAGGGAAGTGAAGAGGCACCTGCTTGATTCCCTCCACATTGATCCAAACGGTTGCCTGCATTTAGTGGGCGTGCCAATCAGCCTAGGACGTTCCACCTGGAGCAATTAATCCCCCAGAATCGTGCCTGACATCAACCATATATATTCCTTCCTTAATTACCTTGCATTTATGGCCAAACCCTATGAAGATTTGTGTGAACGCATGGCCAAAAGTGGCGCCACCCTCCATCAGAAAACTTAAGTAGCCACCTTGCATTAATTGCATGGCATTACCGAAACCAATCAATCATTCATTCTATTTTTTTTTCCTAATAACCACGTTTTAATTGCTTAAAACTGAGGGGCCTCACCTGCCTCATTTAAACCGTCATTCAAGTTACCTAAATTACCTTTTAACTGCATTTAACCTCATGAGGAAAAACAAAGGAAAACCTACTCCACTTCCTTCTACAGTTGACCTAGCTGCCAGCCCGCACTTAATAAACAACTAAAAACTTAGCAATATTTATTCTGGAAATTATGCCCCATTAATCGCATGCAATTATTTCTTGTTTTATGGTACTGGCCACACGCTCAAGGCAAAGAGAAAGGCGCCACCTTGCCTCAAGGAGTCCAAGAGGCACCACCTTTTCACTAACCACTCAAAAGAACATCACCCTTTCAATTTGTGGGACACGAAGGGTTTGAACCCATTTCCCTCCACAAACAAACGCTAGCCGCCAACGTCCATTAACTACCCACTCTTGCCTAGGTCAAACCCCCATTCGGTTACTCCATTATGATGAATGGCGTGTGGAGATGTGTGGATCACCAACGGCTTGCTTCTTTTGCACTCTGTGCATTGAATGCTCTTGACAAGGCGTGTCACATGCACCTGGACATCCAAGAGGCGTGATTGTTCAACAAGAAAGGTGAAAGGATATGTCACTTCACATAACCTAACCCTAAAACCCTTCTTGTGCAACTCACCGCCAGCCTTTGGGAGACGAATGGGCAAAGCTTTAACCCACACTATATAAGGACACCTTATAATCCTCACGCGCCCTTTTTCCCTTATTTTCAAGAACACTCTTAACCTCACCACTCCTTTTCTCTCTCGACACCTTCTCACCCTCACACAAAGCCTCTACGCCCTTTTCTCTAATGGACAACACACTTCATCACCAACCACTCAAGGAGGCGACAAAACACCAAGAACTCAAGTCGTGACCAAGATCCTGCTAGTACCAAGACCAAGCCTTCCACTCTATCTCTCTTTCTCAAACCAAACAAGGTTAGGGGAGTTCTTAATTGTGTGTGAATGAATGTGTTTGCTAACATGTGTGTGATCAAGTATGATGAATATTCTTCCTTCCTATTTTCATTTCTAATGAGATTAAAAGTTGCATGCAAATGACTTTCTCTTCATCTTCTAATTTCTTTGTTCGAACACTACTAAAACAATGCATGTGGTAACTCGAATGGGTGTGGATAACTGTTTGCATGTCAATGATATTGAAAACCTTACACGATTCTTTCTTGTTTGCCCTCACTACTAAATAAAGTTGGTAACTTTGATGAATATCTGATTGCATGTTGAAATAACTCTATGAATCCTTGTGTTCTTTTTGGTTTTCATCGACTACCCTCCTTCCTTTTTGTTTTAGTTGAGAAATTACTCACCTTTTTCTCTCGGTTTGATTTTGTATGACCAAGGAACCCTTTTTCTTAACCATGAAAGAATTTTCCTACCACTTAATCACTATTTTACGAAAAAAATTTGTGGTAGAAATGAGTTGCATGTGTGATTAAACTTGCGGTTATTTCCATGATTCTTTGATGATTATTTTGTTTGCGAAGGTACATTTCGACTATGATATTTCAACGAAATTTTTATAACTATCTCCATCTTCTCTCCTTTTCTTTTATTCTTGGACCGTGGACAAATGGTTCTTCTTTTCCTTGAACGTGCTAGCTCTTATGAACGTGGATTTGGTTATGTGGTTTGTGACCTTTGAGAATAAAATGCGTGCTCCAAAAATGGTATAAGGAGGATGCGGTTACGAAACCTTTTATGTGCATGATATAAAGGATGGAGAGTCAAGGTCAAAGTTTAGCACAGCTGAGGGATGTGAGTGTTCAGGTTTGAGGGAAGGACCTTAGGGGTAGTGGAGGGGGGTTGCCCCAATGGTGTGAAATAGCTCATCACGGCTGGGACACATCGCCATCAAAACCTCCACTAATCCTGACGTGAGCAAGCATTATAGAGGATCGTGGAAGGACTCGTTCCTGAGGGACCGAAATGGTTAAATGGGAGAATATTCTTGATGGATTACATATAATGTGTGCTTGTAGGAAACGAGGGTCTCCGATCACCTTGACTGGAGGAATGGTGGGAACAAACTGAGAAAGTAGTATGTTTTAGGCGTTAGTGTTTAAATTATGTTATGATGAATCTCTGTGACTCTGTCTGCATTTTGTAATTGTTTATTGAGCATTTTGTTATTACTGTGTGTGTATTAAGATGTGACTTCGCAAGTGCTTGATATTACTCTGATTTTCTTACTTACTCCATATCTGATGACTGATTGTAGCAAAGCTCACCCTTTCTGTTCGTGTTTTATTGTTGTGTATTTGTATGTATTGCATGACTGTATGACAGATGGTCCCTCAGTGAGCAATGATATAGGGAGAGGACTCCGACAAGAAAGCAGTATGGAGATACGACCAGGCAATGCGCCGTCTCGTGTAGCAGGGGATGGTCTCCATGACCTTGGGGCCTCTCACTGAAGACGGCTGGAAGCCTAGCTGGAGTGACCACCTTTTTGCAGACATCTCCATACCCCTACCTTCGGAATGGAGTATTATCATCCTCTCACCTCCTCCTTCTCCACCATATGAACCTCCAGCCAAATGTCTTAAAATTTTCATTGACAACGGTAAGACCGTTATCAATCTTAACCCCGAGCCTAGCCCTACTTCCAGTCCTACCCCTGCTCCTGAGTTAAAAGATGTCGAGGTTATCAAGTCTTCCATTATACCAGCATCTCGCCACCTCCCACAGATTCGAGCACCTCCTCCCGACGAAGCCGAACCCTCTATCCGACGCCCTTCATCACCACCACCTGCTTCTCGATCGCCCCCGCCCACTATCGGTTGGATTGACAGCGACCCGGACGACCTACCGCTCTCTCCTCACCCTCAACCAGCAAATGACTCTTACGACTCCGACGGAATAGAGTCTAACCCCAGCGAGGATTCCTTTCCATCAGAGTTTTCTTTGTAGTTGTTGTTTTTAATTACGGATGAATACTGCTCATAGGACTTGGGTTGTCTTTACTATTTTTGGAATACTGAACTTTGGGGTTATTTGGCTTTGAATTTTGTTTTACCTTGAACATTTTGGTTGGATGGTTTATATATATATACTTTTCTTTCACCAACATACTCTTTATTATATTTCCATAATTTTTATCTCTAACGGTATCGTCATTTTAAAGTCATCCTGCGAATAATTGGAGTAATTAACATAAATGACTTGTATGTTGTTGAGATGCGAGATTAATAAAATTATAAAATTTATGATGAGTGAGCTTGATGCAAGTACATTATTATAATCTCTACCTTTTTGTTAATTCGAGTTATTCTGATAAATTAAATATTTAAGTTGGAATGTGAATACTATTTGATTGAGTTCTCTCACGCGTCTAATTTAGGTGTGCCATATTGTAGAGTCTTGAGTCATATTATGAGTATATGGGGTTTTGGTAGAAATTAGGTGTTACACCCATTTCCATGAAGGGCTAAATTTTGTGTAATCCTTAGTAAGTTCACACGGATTCTTAAGTTCCTTGATTTTAATGATAATATAATTTCTTTCTTTTCATGAATTACTTCTTCCTTGTCTCTTGAATTGAATTAATGGTGAATGAGGGAGGTATTGCTTAATTAACCCTAATTCATTTTAAGGAGATTCTAAACTAGGGATTGCTTAATCCTAGGTTTAATTCTAAGGTTGAGTAACTTTGGGATGAGGGATTAGAGCCTAGCAAATTGCGTAATTTTGTTAGGACCATAAGGTTGATTTTCGCTTGTTAATTTAACCTAATTCATAGGAGAGAGGATGAATGTTAAATCATGAGTGGAATGAGGATAGAATCTTTGTGGATGAACTAAGGATTTCTGTTTTCTATTGCTTGAATTAATTAAACTTGTTTGCTTGTTGCTCTTTATATTGATTTGAAACCACAAAACCCCCCATTTTAATTGCTTGTCCAATTAATGCCCTCAATATGTTTAATGAAGATTAATAGCCAATGGTCACGGGAGACAATCTAGGGTAACCCTAGTACTACATTAATTTGCTTAAATTTTGATGAGGATTTGCGACAAAACTTTTAAACACTCAAAAGGAAAAAACACCATCATTAAATTGGTACTGTTGCCGGGGAACATTGGTGTTGATTTTTCATAAACATGTTATTTGCTCTGTTTTCATTTTCATTTTCTGCATGTTTAGTGAATTCTTTTTTAACTTTTGCATTGTGAATACTTTAGTATAGTTGTAGTTTCATAGGTAAGTAGAGATATCTTGCATTTAGGTACAACCAATTGCTGTTTTCTGCATTTTAGTTTGTTGTACTGTATTTTTGTTTGCTGCAATTTCCCTATTTTTGCTGCATAATTCTGTAGAAGTTTGCAGAATTTGTGCTTGTGTGTTGCATATTTTCGTTTCATAGTTTGCAATTTCTTTCTATTTTTGCTGTTTGGTGTTAATACTTTATTTTACTGCACTTAGATGTTAGTTTTTCTGTATAATTGTCATCTGAATTTTTCTGCATTTTTACTGCTTCATTAGTTTACTTCTTTTCAATTTTCCATAGCTAATTCCTAATGAATGACCAAATCAAATCCGGGAGATTTATATCCTCCAGATACTGAAATTGATAGGACATTACATAGGAATCTTAGGAACCTTAATAGACAAAACTCTGCACATACTGAGGAACCATCTTCACCAATTTCTCCATCTTCCATATATTCTTCTCTGCATTCTTTAAATTTTGAACCTTTAGAAATGGCAAAAAATGACCTGACAGTTAAGGAGCTTACCGCGCTAGATGTGACTTACTAGACTTTGTGTATCCAATACCCAGATGTGGATGTCCCTTTTGTTCTTAAAACTAGCCTAATCCATCCTTTGCCTAAATTTCATGGTCTTGCAGGTGAAGATCCGCATAAACACCTCAAGGAATTTCATATTGTTTGCTCTACAATGAGACCACAAGGTGTGCCTGAAGAGCATGTGAAATTGAAGGCTTTTCCGTTCTCTCTTATGGATTTGGCTAAAGATTGGCTGTATTATCTTCCACTTGGCTCTATTACAAGTTGGGATACCCTCAAGAGATTGTTCGTGGAAAAAAATTTCCCTGCCTCAAGGGCTGCCTCAATAAGAAAGGAAATATGTTGTATTAGGCAGCTGGAGAGGGAAAGTTTGTATGAATATTGGGAGCGTTTTAAGAGACTTTGTGCTAGCTTCCCCCATCATCAGATAAGTGACCAGCTCCTAACCCAATACTTCTATGAGGGCTTACACCCAATGGATAGGAGCATGATCGACGTAGCTAGTGGGGGAGCCCTAGTTGATAAGACTCTCGCTGCCACTAGGAACCTCATTGAGAACATGGCAACTAACTCTCAACAGTTTGCTACAAGGAAAAATTCCATCATGTCCAAAAGTGTCAATGAAATTCAAACTTCAAATTCACATAAGGTGGAGCATAAACTAGATGAGTTGGCTTCTATGGTAAAATAGTTGGCATCCATCCAAAAGAATTCTGCTGCATATGCACCTCTACCTCCATCCATTCTAGCCATGCTTTGTGGGATTTGTTCGTCTACGGATCACTTCACTGATAGTTTCCCCACATTGCAAGAAACTGAATCTTCAGAAGGTAATCCTCAAGCTTATAATGCTAATATTTATGCTACTAAATTTCCTTTTCAGCTTCCAACCACATCAAGCTGGACAAAGCAAGCCATATTCAGCCCAGCAACATCACCATCCATCATCTTCATCTCAACAGCACCATCAAGCATCCCCTTCACTAGCTCCTGCACCTCAAAAGAGTGAGTCATCTTTGGAAGACCTTGTGAAGCAACTCACCATGAATAATCTCAATTTCCAGCAACAGAGTCAGGATTTCCAACAACAGACTCAAGCAAGTATCAAGACCTTGGAGAATCAAATGGGTCAACTTGCTTTATCCCTTAATCAACTTCAATCTCAAGGTTCAGGCAATCTCCCTACACAAACTATAACAAACCCAAAGAATGTGAGTGCCATTACCTTGAGATCTGGTAAGGTGATGCAAGAGCCAAAAATGCCTAAGGAGAAGGATCCTAGTTGCACTTTAGCTGCAGAAGATGAAGGAGGAGAGGTTAGAAGCCAAGAGCAGTGATGAATCCACATTTTATCATGTTTTTACTTGTCTTTTTAGTTTTCCTTAATAGAAAAATTAGACTTATATAGTGTAAATAGTACAAAAATTACATTTTGAGTAAAAATCATAGGTTTATTAATTTTTAGTTAATTTGCATTTAATTACATAGATATAGATTGCAATTTTAATTATCTTGATAATTTTGCAGAGTCCCCAAGTTAATTCTGAGATATCTTGACCCTTGGATGAAAGTTGCCCCCAAAGTAGCCACTTTTAGGAGCAAAAGTGGCAACTACAGCAAGTCTGGGCATTAAAGGTTCCAAAGTAGCCACTTTCAAGTCCAAAAGTGGGAACTCCAGAGAGCTCCAGGGACGTCATTTTGGAAGCATTTTGCGCGTGGCCACTATTGAAAGGCAATAGTGGCTACGCGCATCCAAAGTAGCCCCTTTCAAGTCCAATAGTAGCAACTCCAGGAAGCCCAGGACGCCACTTTCGGAAGCATGTTGCGTGTGGCCACTATTTCCTTTCAAAGTGGCTACGCGCATCCAAAGTTGCCACTTTCAAGTCCAATAGTGGCAACTCCAGAGAATTGACAAACTTACGTGAATTGCGCGTGGACACTTTCAAGGCCCAAAGTGGACACTTTCAAAGCAAAAAGTGGACACTTTGCTGACATGGCATCCAATATAAATAGGTTTTAGGAATTAGGGTACGGGACTTTTACACTTTACACATTTTTCCTTTGCCAAATTGAGACAATTTCCCAGAACATTGGAGTCTTGGGTGACAGCCAAGGGTCCTCTATAGGTTTTAATTTCCAATTTTCCTTTTGATTTTTGTTGAATTTACATTAATGTTACTTACATTCTTGCATTTCTTTCTTTCATTTGTGAAGCCCATCCATATGGAAGGCTAAACTTCCTTGTAATTCCTAGTCAATGCACATAAATCTTGAATTCTTAGGATTAATTGCAATACAAATCTTTCTGTCCTTGAATTTATTGACACCAATCTTTGAATGAAATGGAATTTGCATGAAGGAAACATTGCTTAATGAACCCTAAATTACCCAACGAAATTCTAATTCAAAATTGCTTAATTTTGATTAATCTTTGAGGTTGCTTAATCTTAGGGATAAAGATTGGAGCCCATTAAGATGCTTAATTTTAATTGGGATGTTAAAGTTAATTTTCGCTTGTTAGATTAACTTAATTCAAGGGAAAGAAAGGGGATTATTGAATCATTTGAAAGAATAATGATTGAACTCATTGATTGACTAGGAATTACTCATTTTAATTGATTGAATTTCACTAGTTTACATTTTGCTCTTGATTAAAATTTGGAAATTGACAAACCTCCCCCCAATTTACTTGCTTTAAAATATATGTTTACACTTGTTCGATGTATGTTCCCAAGCAAAAATTCCTTGGAGACGACCTAGGACAACACCCTAGTACTGCATTCATTTCTTGCATATTTGATAAGGATTAACGACAATCTTTTGCATGACGAGTAGCTAAATTCGTTTCATCAAGCAGCCTGCACCTATGCCCACACCATGGCAACCAAAAGTGGTAGATAAAGAGGAGAGGTCCATTTCCTATTCCTTTCCCTCAAAGAATGGTTCAGCCCAGCAAGAAGCAAGAAGAGGTTGATAAAGAAATTCTGGATACTTTCAGAAAGGTTAAAGTCAATATCCCCTTGTTAGATGCTATCAAGCAAATCCCAAAGTACGCCAAATTCCTTAAGGACTTGTGCACTCATAGAAGGCGACTAAAGGGTAATGAAAGAGTGAACATAGGGAGGAATGTATCAGCTCTTTTTGAGAGGCAAAAAACTTCCA